CTGGAGCGGGGGGGGTCTGCTCCGGAGCATCTGGGGACTCGCTGCACCCCTCACCTCACTACGGAAAAACAAAGCGGAGCCACCAAGCCCAAGAGACATAAATTCACAACTTGTTTAATGCCAGTTAGATTGTTTTACATGGAAAAGTTACGACGCTGTCTCTGTATTTTTTTTTTTCCACCATATGATGCCTTATATATAACAATGCCACAAGGTTGCAGACTTTATCACACAAACTCTGGAAGGACCCTTTGCTTAACCCGCGCTGACCGGTCACACACCCCGACAACACAAGCTTACATCAGTTTTGCTCTTCCCCCCCCTCCCCGTTTTAACACCCCGCAGCACACGCCACCGACAGCATCGCATCGCTCGCCTGCGTGAGCCGAGACACACGCACACCCACACCCACTGCCACTCCCGCCGTGGAAAACCTGCAGAGAACATTTCTGGGAACTTCACTCCTGCCTTGGCAGCTGTGAGCGGGGCTGGGGAGGAAGGAGTTTGTGCCATGCTTTAACAGCTAAGTCAATCTGAACAGCTCGTTCTCGCTACGCTCAGCCGCAGACTAGCCATGGCTTGGAAATCACTAGCCCTCCCTGCCAAGCAGGATGAGAGAAGTCACAATGAGCCAACCTGCCAAGGCGGAGCCAAAGAGAAAGAGAAGTGAAAAGGGAAAAAAAAAAAAAAGTGAGATGCGGTTTGTGAAAGTCCCTGGCAAGCGAGGAGAACAGTGCGGGGACAGAGCGACAAGGGGCTGTCTCCTCTCCGTAGCATCCTGGGGCGCAGCCGGGTGCTGGGAGAGCGAGGAGCAGCGAGCTGCAGATGCAGCACAGGCCATGGGTGCCCCCTGCCCCAGCAGCCCCCAGGGCCCCTCGGGGAAGCAGCCACGTCACAGGGCGAGAGGCAAACCCACCCCTCCACCTGCCATCCCTGCAGGGCTCCCGGCGAGCCCCAGCGGTGCCACGCTCACCCCGTGCTCCGGCTGGGCTGCCCAGCTCCCTCCTGCTCTAGAATGGGCACAAACCACTGAGAAACCACCCTCGTGTGTGCTCCCCCCACCCCAACCATCTATTTCTTCCTGGAGGAGAAAGCAGCATCTCCCAGGGGGCTGCACGTCGGGATTTAGGCAGGAGACGATCCACAACAGACAAGAAAATCCACAGCAGCAGCTACCAACCACCTCCACCCTTGGTGTAAACACCCCTGTCCCCGGGCTCTGCTGCCCGACAGGGCGATACCCACCCAGGACAGACACCCGTGACAGACCACATCTTGCTGCAGGTGGCCTTTCACTTCAAATCTGCTTGCCAACTTAATGATCCCACTCAATTCTAATAAATCCTCAGTGCTTCGCAATCGTCCTTCCACACAGTGAAGTTAGCAGTGCCAGTGAACGTAACCAGCACCAAGAGAGAGGCTGGGAGGCCATCAGGTGATTTTTTTTAAACCAAGCCCCATGCTCCTGCAGCAAGAGCTACAATAAAGTAGTTGTGTTGAAACCACGTTTCAGAAATTACATTTCGGAGGCAAGGGAGGCTCATAAGACGACGATGTGGCTGCCAATTTGGGGTTTGGAGACTCAGTGCTGCCAGCCTGCGAAGGGGCAGCGAGCTCCCCGCAGACGAGCTCCTCACAAGCGTCTCCAAGTACCTGCGAGACGCAGAGGTAGGACCGAGAGCCTGCTCCAGGCACCGGTGTAATGGCACACGTGGTCAAGGCGGTAGTGAACAGAATGGCATCTCACTGCCCTTCTCCATACCAGCTTTCCTACACCTCAGAAGCTCACCCTAAGGACACCAGAGGCACCAGGGAAAGATAATCATATTCCTACTGCCAGCCCTACAGTCTGGTTTCAGGGAAAGAAAGAAAAGAAAGAAAGAAAGAAAAAAAAAGACAGAAAAGTATTGTCTATGCAATGTACAGAGAACAGGTCAGGGTTTATATACACAGCCAGGAAGGGCCAAACGAGAAGAGGAAACAGCACTCGCATCCCAGCGCACCGGCGAGGGCAGAAGGCAGGCAGGAGCCGGCGTGCGGCAGGGAGAGCATTGGCACATGTACAAATAAGACAGGAACAGGCCGCTGCAAGCGTAACAGCTTCTCTTTAAATTAAAAGCAACACATACACACACACAAGTGCTTTGCGTCACATCCCACAGCACTCATCACACAGGCTCCAAACACACAAGCAGGCACTCTCCTCCCATACAACTTAAAAAAAACCCCCACAAACAGAAATAAAAAAAACAACCAACAAAATCCAACAACAGGTCCCTGACTTTGACTTGGAGATAAAAAAAGCAACACTTCTTCCTTGCTTTCGAAAAAAAGAACCCCCGCCTCTCACCCAGACATGGTGTTTCCCCCCTTCCAGCCAGAAGAGGCCATGCTTTCTCCGAAAACACAGATCCACAGGAGTTGTTTTGTTTCTCAAACAGATCTCAACTGCTTTTGTCCTCAGGAAGACTCCAGAGCAACCAGCCTGCCACAAGTGACACTGTGGGAAGCTCCACATGCATGGTGGTTGTTGGTTGTTCCTTTTTTTTTCCCCCCCCATTGTTTTTCCTGTCTGTTAACTAAAAGGATCAGCCCAGAACATGCAATAGCAATTTCAGAACCGTCTGAATGTGCTCCTTCTGAGGTGGAGCCTCTTCAAGTCTCCTCCAAAGTTTACAGCCCAAAAAGGTATTTGTTTGAAGGCAGCTGTCAAGCATGCCAAAAAAAAAAAAAAATAAATCAAGCTGTCTTATAGGAATGATTGTATCGAGTACTACAGTACCTCTTTGGGGGGGGAAAAAAAAGGGAAAAAAAAAAAGAGGGAAATAAGCAGTTCTCCAGTTTCTTCATGTAATGGGGATGCCAGGCTATAAAAAAATGCCCTTAGATATTCAGAGAGGTGAACACCCAGCCTGGAGTCTAAGGCCCCCTTACACCAGTTGTATCGAACTGGTCTGGCTGGCTCCTACCTCCAAAAATGTCCAGCCGAGGACAGAGGGAACCCAGCACAGCACCTTAAGCCCATTCCCACAGAGGCAAGGATACTCTCATCTCTCCCAAGAGGGGACAACACAGCAGCTGCGATGGCCTTGGTCCGGTTTCAATGGTCCGTGTCCTACACGTTTTCTCCAGTATACAAAACACGAGGGTTGGAGGATGCTGGTTTAACATTTCTCTTGTACCCGTTACCCTTTATGAAGGATGAATCTGTAAACCTTTGGCAGTTCCCTCCCCTCCCCAACCCCATCCCAAATACTGCCCAGCATGGTTCACAAACACGTATTTAATTAGCATCTGTTGGGTTCGTCCTCCAGTCCCTCCCCTTCTGGCTGATCGTTTGGGGTTCCATGCACACCAAGGTAGTGGTTTTATCCTGGTATGTCAGGCTGTAGTCTCCTGGGTCGCAGTATATATGGGGTTTATCGTATCCTGGTGAAGAGGTTGAGAACAGATACAGACTCCTGAGAAGAAAAGATAAAGCAGGTGCTAAGTACTCCACAGGTGTGCTGCAGCATTACTCCATCTGCTTTTGGTTTTGGTTTTTCTTTCCTTTTTAATAAAAACAACTGCTAATCTGGTGAGCTATCTCTAGCTCAGGGCATGACCCGAGCTCAAAGTCCAATACCATAAATACTCCCTTTTTTTTTCCCCCCAACTGATAACAAGGAACTATGCAGGCAAGTGTGCCATTCCCACAGCTTTGCAGGAAGCTGTACTCCAGAGCCATCGGAAATCGCAGCGAGCAAGACCAGCTCCCCCAGCTCATTCCTCTCTGCCGTTCTCCACTGCCTCTGCCGGACACCCAGAAAAGCTCTCGGAGCATCGGGCACAACCCACTTCCAGTGATGGCGAGCTGTCAGCAGCAGCATCCACGATCCCATTTCCATCCAAGCCACCGTTTTAAGCAGTTTTGTAAGGATTTAGGGGATAATCATCTCTGAGGACTGGGTCAGCTCATAGCAGCGTGCTAGCAGGGAAGATGGTGGGCACAGGGTGAGCTCCCTGAAATGCTGCTATGTTCAGCAACCCTGTAACAGCCAGGAGAAGGATGTTCTGTCGCATTGCCATGGGCATGCAGAAGCAACCTTTAATTTCATCTGATGACTACAAATTCCTTTATACCTCAGCAAACCTTTAACCCTTCACTGCATCCAGCCCTCAGTCTGCAGGATATGGTGAAGAGATCAGAGGCAAGGCAGCAGAATGGAGCAAAGCTGGACTGAATTCAGCCCCAAAAGCCACAGCTGCAGCCACCCACACAACGCATCCTTACCTTTGTCGAGCGAGTTTTACTGAAGACATTCCAGAAGCGCAAAGTTTCATCTCCAGCTCCCGTAACTATGGCCTCCCCATCAGGGGACATCGCCTAAGGCCAAGAGAGAGCAACCTTTAGCATCCGTTACATTTTTGAGGTTGAAAACAAATTTTCTTTGGAATGCATGAGAGATATTTTACTCTCCTTCCTACTTGGCTGGCAGTGAGAAACCAAACAACTACCTCTGCTTTCATGTGCCTTATTCAGTCTCGGTAGGTGCCATTTCGAGCACTTGCACAGCTACGGAACACATGGGTGGAATTATCATAAAAAGGATTCTTGTGTTAAGAAATCCAAGCCATTTGTAATTGAGGCTATTCCTGCCTGGATTATAAATACACATTAAGGCAGGAAGTGTGATACGACTGGCATTTGCCAGCTCTATTAGTCGCTTACATTGGAATCTACCTCACAAAACAGTATCAGCATATTTATCATCTCTTATGCATCTGCCGAAATCCCTACGTAACGGTAACAAAGCAGGTATGAGATCAATGTGGATTAACTGCACCAAGCATTTTAATGAAAATTAGGAAGACTGAAAGCATCAAATTCTTCCCCTGCTGGCAGTCACCAGTGAGAAAGTGTACAAGTCTTAAGGGAACAAGAAGAGACACTTGTGCTTCCTCAGAAGCATTTTGGCAGGCTTTGCTATTCATTAATAAAGCCTCACATTTCCATAGCAGCGAATCAAAGTATCCCTTGCAGGCAAGGAAATCAGATCCAGAGCGTTTTTCATGGCTTGTAGGGCAGCACTTAGACTCCACCTAGACTACGGGCACCTCACAGTGCCACCAGCACCGCAGCTTCAAGTCTCATCTGGGCACATGCACAGCCAGGTAAGTGACTATAGAAGTTTTTGGAGACGTGGCCATTGCTTACCAGATATAAGACTCGGTACGAGTGCCCTGTTAGCTTCGCTACTTGAGTTAACGAGGGGTATTTCCAGACGAGGATCTGGTTCTGCGAGTATCCGTGGGTACTCACCTGAAAGGGGAGAGGGAAATATGCATCATGTTTCCTAACACAAGCCAGCTCAGCAGCAGGACTGTACAAGGAGGAACTTACTAGCTCGTTGGCATGTTTTGACCAGGCCAGGTTGCACACTTGTGACCCAGTGTCGATGCACTGCAAAGGTTGCCCGGTGAGCGTGTTCCAGAAGCGTATGCAGCGGTCAGCGGTCCCACCGCCGGAGGCAAGAAGCCCGTGCTGGTGTGGAGACCAGGCAATAGCTTTTACTGCTGCAAGATGCTCTGTGTATTGTTGGACAGGACTCAGGCTGGAGTGATTCCATACAAGGAGCTGGTAGAGAGGAAAGACGTGATCAAATTTGGGCTGCAGTCAATGTGTCCGCAACACCCACAAGCCGCGGATGTTGCACTGGGACTGATGAAGGCAGTTGTGCAACAAAACGATTTCCCACAGCTCTGCCCAAGTACACGCATCTCCCCTCTGCACTTGCAGCCCTGAAGCCAGTCTCTCCTTGTCACCACACTCATCTGAGGAGCCACCCTACCACTGGCCCACAAGGAAGCTAACAGTCCTTAAGGTAAGCTTATAAAGCCAAAGACACAGTATCCCTGACTGTGAACTCAAACCTTCTTTTGTCTTTACGGCTGTATTATTCCAGAAGACATTTAGAAATATGCTCAAGTTCATTAGAGGTTATTCTGAGCAGGAGGAACTCTGCACAACCATGCTGTCACACAGACACCGGGCAAATTCACTACCTAGCAACCCACTCCGAAGGGCTCTGAACACTGCTTCTCCCTAACAAATGCTGCTTCCATATGGCGCTCAGTGAGCTACAAGCCTGCGTTATAGGTATTAGAACTTGTATAGCTCTAAGCTCGGTTTCCTTTTGCATACATAAACATTACTGCAACAAACTTGACTATGTGCTACCTAAACAAAAGCAGAAGTACAGCTTAGCAGTAGCTTTGCTGAACTCAAACCCCTGAGCCAAGCTATAGATTTAATTAGCCAAATACAGAAGCAAAATTAAATTTGCCTTTTAAATTTTATTAGAGAGACTGAGTAGAAGCTTAGCATGATTTATGTTTGTACACAGTCCAACAAGTGAAACAAAAGCCCCTTTCAGAGAAGCCAAATAACCTTAAAGAAAGGGGGTCTGACATTTCTTGGTGAAGATCTAGAGACATTGAGCCTCCTTGCAAGTACTATACCTTATTATCATTTCCTCCAGAGGCCAGGAGCTGGTGGTCTGTAGACCATTTGAGCCCACAGACCTCCTGCCTGTGGCCCTGGAGCCGCCGCTCAGATTGTAGGGGTGGTGTGCGGATGTCCCTCTGAAGGATCATTCTGTCTCGACTCCCAGAAGAGAGCTGGTCTGCGTTCCATGCCAAGGCACCTGTAACACAGGCAGAGCATAAGAGTATGTTGTGGGAGTCCCGCAGGTAAGTGCAACACAGACACTGCAGTTGCCAAGGTTTGGGAAAAAAAAAAAAACAACCACACACCCCACAAAAAAACCAAAATCAGCACTTACGGACCTCCCTTATATCCACTCTGAAGTCCTAGAATTGCATACAAAGAAAGATTAACCTGCACAAACTTACTGAAGGTATCACTACTCCCATTTCACAGTGCAGTAAAGCACAGAAAGAGAACTTGGAAGGTCCCCTGACTTCCCGAATCTCACTCCAGCATTCGGATTCACAATGCCTCTGAACAAATAAAAAAAGAAGTCCCCACAGAATAAGGGAACGGGAAATCTCAGTGCAAAGCAGCCTGCCTGCAGGGCTGAAACCGGAAGCCAGTAGCAGTGAATAAAAGATGTTGTAACCAAACCTAAAATGCCTCAGACACGGAGGAAACACCTGCTGCAATACTCAAACACCACCACACCCAAGATGAGAACACCACAATTACTAGATGATAATATTTTGAAGACTGCTCAAGACATAGCAGGGGATAAATATAAATTCTGGTACTTTTTGAGTCTGGCTATTTCAAGCAGATCCCTTGCTTACAAGGAAAAAATTTCAATCATGAAGAAGTGAAACATGTAAAACCTCTGCCTCCCACCTCCTTACCGACTCTGGCTGTGTGCCCCTCTAGCATGGAGAGCTTTTTTCCTGCAGCTGCATCCCAGATCTGTACAAAGCCCTTGTGAGTGCCAACAGCTACCAAGTTCCCCTAGACAAACAGAAAACCCTGATCAGTAAAGCCAGTAAGTAAAGACTAGCGTAAAACAAAAGCTAGAAGCAGAGGAAAAGACTTGAGATAAATCCCACAAGATGGAAAGAATCCAGGGTTCTTCAATCTTACATCTTGTCCCTACTGAGAGGGCCAAGCAGCCTGGCTGGAATATATTTATCATAACATTTTACTGTCAAGAGCTGGAGAAGCAAACTGGCTCTTTCTCCCTCCCACACCTCTTAGCAAATGCCTCGAGAACCTCAAGATACAAGAGGCTGCTCTCTATCCCCTCTTGTATAGCAGAGAAAAATAATGCAGACAGGGAGAAGACATTTGATTTGTGATGCATACAGGGAGTTTGAGGAAATACAGGAAAATAACCCAAGAAGTTAAAACCTGTGAGGAAGAGCAATATGGCTACAATGACAGTGTCTAAATTACAAATGGTTCAGCTGTCACTGTTGACAATGTTATACTAACCCGTTCTGACCAGCCCACAGATGTTACAGAATCTCCTTCCACAGAGAGATCACACAGCCGGGTTACCTTGAAAGTAGGACAGAATGGAATAAGAAACACTTCTTATTGTCATACTACACTATCAGCTGTTGCACAGACTAGTACGTCATTTGGGACAGAGCTTTACAAGTGCCGAATCCCTCACACAGCATGCTCCATAGCTCTGAAAGATGCTATGGCTGGAAAAGACCTACAGCAACGGGTACTTCACTCTCCAGACACTGATGATCGTTTACCTGGCTAGTACAAGCACTCCATAGGTAAACGCAAGTCCCAAGGCCAACGCTGAGGACGTTGAGAGAGGACCAGTCCACTAGGTTCAGGTAGAAGTCGTCCTGCAGCTCTGGGGCATCCAGCACTTTGAAAGGAATCTTTGAGATTTTCCGAGTTGGTTTTCGAGGTGATCTTAGCAGCTTCTGACTGTTTACAAAAACATATATAAAACCAACTACAGGATCTTACACATCACAGCAGGTGGTAGACACAGATAGAGCCATTTTTTAAAGCATACCTACATTTCTATAGAAATGCACAAAGAGGCCACAAAATTCTTTCCAGCAAGTAAGACTGGAAGGAATTAGGTCACTCTTCTACAAAGGAGCTAGGGAACAAAAAGGTCAACTGACTACTGAAAGTTGGTCAAGACATATTAAGTATCTAAGCAGGCTGGGCACCTGCAGAAATTCTAAGAACTTGACTGTCCCTACTTATTATCTCCCCAGATTTCCAAAACCAATTCACATAGCAATTTTGGGTGCCTTAGAAAGAAGCCCTAGAGAATCTCATTGAATCCTCTGTCCCAACCCTTCCCTTCTCACAGTCTGTGGAGAACCCACATTACCTTTTGTTGCTGACAGGAGACAGGGAATATGGTGAGACCTCGTTGCCATCATCGGGACTAGAGCGTTTTGTGCTGAGCGAATACTGCATAAATAAAACACATCTAGTAAGAAACTCAGCGTGCCCAAGACCTAGAGGATCACTCGCAACATGCACTGGTGCCCGATGCCTAGCCAACTCCAACTCCCAGTTAGATTTTTCCAGACTTTTCAGTTCCTCCCTTCCCCAGGTGCTCCAGAACCATGCAAAAACCTTCATCTCCACTGAAGTCCAAAAGCTTGATTTGGTCATGTACCACACTCCAAAAAAAGCTTGGTTCCAACTTAGCTTTCTTGCCAGTACAGAAATAGGAAGTATGTAGCTTGCTGCAGATACTTATGTTCTCTTTACAGGCCATCAAATTTTGATATCAACAGCTTATCTTAAAGTCAAACCACAACACTAACTCACTTGCACTAGCAGCTTGGTGGAACTGCGTGCTTTGTTCCTGTGATGCACACGTGCAACCTCCATTGGTTTTAATGCAAAGTAACCAACTTACAGTGAAGAGAGATTTCTTCTCCGGCGTGGACGGCTGCAGCCTCCTGTCTTCTGTCTGTGGGTCTTGCACTTTCTCAATGCCTGCTCCTAAGAGTTCATTCTTCAGCAAGGCAGAGTAAGCAAGGCCATCTGTGAAGCCAAACGAGCACTTAGGCAGAGAACTCGGAAGCAGCAAACAGCTCTGCAGGGAGCAGCAGGATCACGTCTGTCTGACCTGTACATTCCCAGGGCCTCTTAATAAGCCTGGGGCCCCACTTTGGAATCAAGATTAGCAGCAAGCTTCCCCTCTTTCCATGCTATCAGGAAAATGCTTCCATGGCACAATAAATCAAGGGATACAAATAGCCTCTTACTTCCCAGACACTCATCAGAAGCCTATGAGGTGACCTGGCATTCACTCTCAAGATGCAGGCATTTCCTAAAACACCAGCATGAATTGTTGCATAAGCATGAAAGTGCCAACATTCCCTTCATTTCCAAACTCACCAACAGCCTGAAATAAAAGTTAGTTTGAAATAAAAGCTATAGGCATGGCACAAGTGGTAGAAAGGTGGTCTCACCTTTGCCATTGTCTGATGTAGCATCCTTTGCTTTTCTGTTTTGACTTGGCGATTTTTCATTTTCCTGAAGGGGAGAAACATGTATCACCATACAGAAACCTCATGATATATGGCAAAATAACAAAGAAAGAAGTCTCCTGGACCATAGAGGCAGCCTGTTTGAAGACGTACATTCAAAGGAACTCTTTTGGGGCAGCAGAAGACCATGGTGCAGAAGATAAGCAGAGCAATCATGCCAGCCAAAACAAAATGCACCATTTCCTCAGTTCCAAGACTGAACTGTAGGAGAGCAGAGCAAAACTTACATTTATTCTGTGGAAGTTGATGCTCCAGTTGGCCCCAGCTCTTGAGGGAATGAACCTGTCACCATGCTTACTAGGAGAAGACATCGGAGAATTGGAAGGCGTCAGGGTTCTTCTCATCTCTGCTACCTGAAGTAAAGAATAAAAGACACACACAAGAACAAGCGTTGATCACAGTAGGGGTCTGAAAAACATCAATGAGGTCTTGTCAAAGCCGAGCGTTAGTTTATCCCCTTAACAGAACTAGTAAGCATGTCAGAGTCCACCTGTCATGGGAACTTCTGTGAAAAGCAGCAATTAAGCAGCCCCTTTCTCACCACTCCTTCTCAAGCTGACATTGTCAAGGCAAACACATGGAAGGCTGGAGTGGGGCAGACTGCTTGTAGGGTGAGCAGCAGATTCCTCAACTACAGTCACATTCTTTTTTCATAGAATAATTTACATTGGAAAGGAGCCCAGCTCAGAACAGAGCTAATTTCAAAATTACATTGAAGGTCACAGCTTCATCCAGTTGAGTTTTCAGCATCTCCAAGGACAATGACCCCAAAAACTCCCTCTTGCAGTGTTTGGACACTCTCACTGTGAACATTTTTCCTACTATCTAACCAAATTCCTCCTGTTGCAGCTCGCATCCATTGCCTCTAATCCTTCCACTGTGTACCTCTGAAGAGAGTCTGACTCCGTTTTCCCCATAACCACCTTCCAGGTGGTTGAAGGCAACCATTTCATCCCTCATGAGCCTCATCTTCTCCAGGCTGAGCAACACAGGTCTCAGCATCTTCCTGCTCCAGCCCCGCAACCATCTTGGTGGTCTCCGCTGGACTTGCTCTATCTTGTCAAGTCCTACAGTTGCTTGGTTTGTTAGCCTCCAACTTTTTACCTTTCACATGTACCTACTGAGATTATTTAGTAAAAAGGCATTACCAAGCTTCATAAAACTATCTTACTTCCTTTTTGCAACCTGAACTGAGTTTTTATATTCGAAAGCTTTGTTGAAGTCAAGTTATTTGGTTATTCCTAGAACAGCTCAGGAACTCACACCTGCTCACAGCCCAACAAAAGACTAAGGTTTGCTTCAAAGAGTTCCAATATCTTTCAAAAGCTCAAGTGAAAACAGTCACAGGCAAGACGGACAACAACTTGATAGTCAGACTAAGACCTTTTCGCACAGCTCATTTGTACTTACGCAAGGCATTGTGTTTTCATTCTGTATGTTGATTTGCCGTAGGAGACGTCTCTCATAATCCTGGTCCATGGTGGAAAGCAGAGAGGCTAGGGAGTTCAGC